TGTGCCAGGCAGATTTAAATCAATGCCCATTCCCTGCTCCCTCCCCTCAGCCCTCTTCTGTACCTCCCCTTCATTATCTCAGAGAAATCACCATTTTTTGGGGGGAAGTTTGTAAAACTGTCCATGAGTGTGTGGTAGAGCTAAAAATCTGTGGCTTGGAATAGGCACTCAGCATCACACCACACGTTGGTCCATCAGAACTCTTGGTTCCCACTCTCCCATACAACTTTCCCCCAGCTCCCAGTAGGGGCTGGCTCCGTGGGGGCTCTCCCAGCTCTTCACAGGAGGGTGGGCTGTGCTTTTGGAACAACAGAAAACCAGAGTTTACACATCCCCAACAAGCATTTCATGAGGGAGATCTTGAAGCACTTGGGCAGTCTGCAAATCTTTGTCAGTCTCCCATCACCTAAAATAAATATTCCTATTCTTTCTACAAACACACAGCATGATGCAAAGATTTCCCATGAGAAATGAGAAAGGGTTGAAGCCTGCATAATTTGAAGTCCCTTATGCAGTCAGCAAGCAGCAGGTTTGCTTCCTTTTAACAATACCTCATTCCTCCTCTAATCCAAGCAATTAATGCCAGCCCAGGTCTTCATTGGACTTTAAAGGCAGCCAGTGTGGATCAGGAGCAGCAGCTCTGTCACCTGTGGCTCAGGGAAACTGAGGCATGAACAACGTGAGCACGAATCAAGAAGCAGAATTCAGAGAGTTCTTTTTTTTTTTTTAAAAGCATCTTTTGAGAAAAATGGGAAAAGAGAAGGGAATGAGAAGTTGCACAGAAGCTAAATAGTTAACAGCCTATCACCCCTCCCCCAACGGGCTCACATTCCATCAAAACTACGTGGCAGACTTTATTTGTTAATAATATTTAACTTTCTTTGGCGCCTTCTCATACTTAAGCCTCTTTTTTTCAGGTTAGTTGTAGACAAGCCATGAATTTGTAAAAGTGCACTTGATGACACATTAATAGGACAATCTGTCATATTGCAGCTAAACAGCTTGACAGATCCACACACCGTGGCAAGAAATGACACTCGAGGCTGGAATGGGGCAACTGCTTTTTTTGGGTCTGCATTTGTCTGCCTGCAGCATCTCCTCTCCCATCCCAGCAGCCAAATCCCAGGGCTGTAGCCTCAGATTTGGTGGCAAGGAATCCTAGCTACGTTCCCTAGCACAGGGAAGTTACC